TCGGTAATTTTTACTAAAATCTGAACAGCTGAACTGTTCGATAAAATTTACCCGCATAAACAATAACCATAAGAGGCGCCTAACCACCAATTCGGGATATCATCCCAATTTTATGTGGTATGGTCGCACCATCTAAGATATCGTCAGTATATGGTACACGTTTATTAGGGTATGCAATTCAATTCAGTTGCTTTTCAGCTACTTTGAAACTAAATCTCAACTAAAATGACAAGATTTGATTATTTAAACAAAGTTGAACATGTTTTGAAATTATTTTCATGTTTAATAGCCTTTGAAATGAAGGTCAAAGTTTTACCGAACGTTCAGCTGTTCTGATTTCGGTAAAATTTACCGAACACGAAAACAAAATCTTAGTGTGTAACGGTCGTTGTCATTGGCGCGACTATTTTAACAGCCCACAGCGCTCTCATTTTAGTTTAGTCACTCTTCTCCACACCGGTCACTGCTATCGCGGTTATCAATTTACTCGCCGTAGTCCGTACCGGTAGTGAGCATTTTGACATTTCTACGAATAGCAACCTTTCTCTCGCGCTGCTAAATTTGGTAACGCGCTTCTCACCGAGAAGCCGACTGCTATTTTAGTTACTCGTATGGCAACCCCCGATACGGTAGCTGCGCTATGATGAGGGCTGCTAAAATGAGTTTAGCAGCGTACCGTTAAGGCTCAAACGCAATGACAGCGGAAGCGGAACGGTAGCGGTAGCGGAAAAAAGCCTACTTGTCGGATTGAAAACTAGTTAGAATCAAATCGACTTCGGTTAGGCATCTTGATGTCATTTGTGACAACTGTCAAACTTTTCGTTTCCGTTCCGCTTCCGTTCACATTGCGTTTGGGCCTTTGCGGTTGCTCTTATAGGCCATTCTATGCACGCGAGTATTGATGGTCCGAATCCGAAAGTAAGGATAACAATAACAAATCAACATTTTAGGTGGGAGCGAAAGTGAGGATAAAACCAAAGATGAATACTAAGATGAAACTGTCGGAAGAAAAACTTTCTATTTTAGTGTCCTCTTTAACGGACCCTTTCATCAAATGAATACCCCCCGTATTCAAGGTAATTTTGTGGTTTTGCCTCGGGTTTTGCTGCCCCCTCGACAGAGATGAAATTTTGCGCTCATTTTTATCAAAACAAACAAACCAAAATCAGAGGTGTTTAATTTTTTAATTACTCGATTAACAACTAATCGATTTTTTTTGGTCGCTGTGCTGCCATATTTCCATCAATGAGAGTGCAGCACATGTTTGAAACGATCGGTGATGATCCTCTGGAGAAGTTAATGCTTATATCGGCATGATATAGCCGATTACAAATATTTTACTTTTCGGTTCGTTAACCGATTAATCGATAATTCGAATGAAAATCGGCCATCACTAGATGAATGTGAAACGTCATTTCAAATATATGGACCGTACATAAATAATGATACAATTTGAAAGGGACCGGGACTCATCACAAATTACGTCCACACGGTAACTAAAATAAACACGAGTGTTCACCGGTTGATAAAACGCTGTCCAGACTGGAGAGTTATAACAACAATCAATACGAAACTAACGATTTTAAATTGGCTCACCACTTTAGTAGCCTATTGGTCCCAAGCAAACGATTAACGTACCCTATTCTAGTTGAAATTCTATTACTACACTATGTTTGTTTTGATTAGCTATGAAAGTTTAACAGATAACATCAGGGGTGTGTGGATTCATGCAGAAAATGCAGGGGTGAGTGAAATAGCTTGGGACTGCTTGGGACCGTTGTTCTGGTACTGAGTGAGCCAAAAATAATAATGATTTTCTTCGGGACCCAGTGGTCTTAGAGTTACCTCTATGTTATAACTCTGTAGTCTGAACGAACTATAACAAACTTCGCACTTGAAAATGGGATTACTCAAGTGTGCGTATTATAAACGTCAGAAAGCTCAATGTTATTGACTCACTTGTGAGAAAACGACGATCTCACGTACACACAAAAAATAATCGTTAATAAAATTTAGAAAAACCATTGGTAGAATTAAAAGTTTGCGTTGGTTCTTTTTGGTAGAAAGTCTTTAGAATTTAAAATAAAATTTCGCCTACTATCAATTCAAAAGTTAACCACTCCCTACTTTTAAAAGTTCAAACTTTCAAAACGAATTGTACTTCTGTCAAAACAAAAGCACGGCAGTGTTGGAATAAAAAGTGGATTATTTTAAATTCAAAGCAAATTTTTATCATGAAAGTGTGGTCTAATTGAAACGATCTTTTTCACTTTGAATTGAACAATTAAAATATTTTCATTTTAAATACCAGCATTGTCAGTATGACATGTAGAGTTTTTTTTATTATTCTATATTATATATATTATTTTTATTATGATATCAAATCATGGCTCGTGATGAACTGATGAACTCAGACAGTATGTATTAACGGTTTTGGATCGTTAGATATCATGGCTTTGGCACACTGTAAGCATTGCTTTTATCTCTGCCAGTAGTCTCCAGGCCAGCTCCCTGGTTTCCTTGAAGATTGATAATCTTTGTAACCTGTGAACATGTTGAAGGGTCTATAATTCAAAATCATTGAGAAAATAGATTACATCTACAGTAAATATGATGCACATTTAAACTGTCCGAGGAACAGTTAAATCTGGGAAACGAATCCGGCAAAGGCCTCGGGCTTCGCATTTATTTTGGCAGTAATTGATTGCTAAAGTTCAATCGGTGCGGCACTCGATCGTGGTATCTTGGGATAATATGAACGGTTCCAGGCCAACTTTGGCCAGCAGATGGTGCAAACCAAGAAACGTTCATTTTGGGTCGTTTTGAGGTAATACTGTAAACAGCGAAAGCATTTATAAAGGTTATTTAAAAATTTAAAAAAAAAACACTAACTGGATCGTCGAGTAGGGCCTATTTGATTTGATCCAACATTTCAAAACCATTCACGGAAATCTAAAACCGGAAGCCAATTTTAGGGACGGGCAGAATCTATGTTTGGGAAGTGGATTGATATAACACTACTGCTGCTGCTTCTGTTTTGTTTTGCATGTTTTATCTTCAAATTTAGCGGCAAAATTTCAGTGCTGCCAAAAGTGTTGGTGTTTAGAGGTATTTTTGACAGTAAACCAATTTTCATTTCATTATCCGACATTTTCATTACGAGTCATAAGTGAACGAAAAACTTTCAAACCAAAAAAATAGTTTTCGTTTTGAAAATATTTGTTCTTGAAACAATGAAGTTTGAGGAATTTTCAATTTGAAAGTGAATTATTTTTATTACAACAATTTTTGTTCTTTGTGTGTAGAATGATTGAAATACACTCAGATCAGGGGGTAATGCCATAGAGGTAACTCGTAATGCCTTGTTCAAATTATAGAGTTATAACATGTTATAACGGTTGTCAAATAATTGCAACACAGAGACCACCATCAAGATAGCGCTATAACATGTTATAACCATAGAGGTAACTCTAAGACCAGAAGGTCCCGAAGAAACGAGCTCAACTTAGTATAAAAATGATTTCTTACAATGCACACCGAGGAGAATTTCCGTATACCATTTATGTATGAAACCACATATTTTTTTGCAATTAGATTTCAAATTGTTTGGGAACATAAAAATTATTTGGTTTCCCGCATATAAAATCAATGTTCTAAAATAAATGAATTTCATTTGCTTTGGCTAATAAAATTTATGTGTGAGGTTTATAACAATTATTTTCTCGGTTGAAAATAAATATTATGTGTCTTTTTCAAATGAAAGTCATGGTACACACAATAATGTTTACGTATCAAGTACATTAACTTTATATGTACAAAACATATTTACAAATATATATAATAAAATAATAAAGATACATGCATTTAAAGTGATTTTTTGTTACTTCATATGTGGTACATGGGTAATTCCATAGGGATTTTTCGCGTGGAGGCGTTTTCCGGTTGAGTCCTCCCGTGTCTGTCAAACGTGCCTCAGAGGGTCTAGCGTATACTTCGCCGCTGTGAGCCTCTACGTCTTCTTACTGCACGTTTTTCTCCTGCGCTTGCTCCTCCTGGACGTATACCTCGCCGTATCCCTACGGAAAAAATCACAAAATAATGTTATTTCAAACAAATAATTTCTATGGACCTTCTCACGTTTGCCTTGCACCAATCAGTTAGCAGTTAGCACCACTCAGCGCTCAAATATCAAAATTATGTGTGAAAACACATAAATAACATTCAACTATAAGATGCGAAACATAATTGTTATGGTAGCACACATATAAATAAAATATGTCATTCATATAACAGTTATGGGCTATCTTATAACAGATAAGGGGTTGATTATGAAATTTATGTTTACACATATAAAAATAATGTTTTGAATATTTTATAAAAAGTATGTATACTAACCAAATAAACTGTAAGTTTAGAATTTTATTAGTGAATAGGTACGGTTTATTCGAGAGAATGTATTTTTCGCTTCTTTATTTAATTTATGGTAAATATTATTGTTTTCAAATAAAAATAAAAATTGTCTCAGGAAGCTTTTTCAATTAGTTTATTTTTTATGAATATTATTTAAAAAAATACTTACAATTTCGATGCTGCCCAGCAGATCACAGGCGCAGTAGAAATCCGCCGGGACAAAGCTCTTCACCAGCACGAAACTCCTAAGGGAATCCAGATGTTCTTTTTCCTGTCATTTTAGTAAATACTGATCGAATTCCACTCCGTTATTCGAACTTAGTATAATTTTGACGAAAATTTTAATCGAACCAATGTATAAATTTTGAAAAACCATAATATGCATAAAATTTAATCTATAATCGTTTTGTAATATTTTTGAGTGTAGAAATGTCTCCATATCTCTGAGTAGAAGTGATTCTCTCTCTGAGTGATTCTCAGTGACCGTGCTCAATTTTTTGAATCGCGCAAGTTGGATGTTTGATGCAACACACCCTACCCTTTTTGTTTACTTCGTACGTCCATCTTCACGTCAAAACAAAAACGATAAAAAAAAACTTTGTGATGTGGATCCCTTTGGTACGTGATTAATTACAATCAATTTTAAAGTTTTCTACCGAAAACAGTAGTGCACGATGTCGTCCGCCACGGTGGGTATATACTTTCGACGTTGAATTGAATCAACATTGAATTGAAAACACATTTTATCGATTATCTGCAGGTACCGCTCCTGGACGACACCGTACCCTTTGGTGACGAAGAGGAACTCAACCCGAATGGTACGCCTAAGCAATTGAGGTATTTCCCTAGTGATAGTTTTGATTGAGTGTTTTTTGGACTAAATATTATGCTTTTCATTTCAGCCACCCGTATGTGACCTTCTTTCACATATTTTTCCGCGGAGCCGCTATCGCGACGTACCTTTTCTGGGGTCTGTTCAACGATTCGTTCATCAAGTGTTTCCTGCTGGTGGTGTTTTGGCTGTCGGCGGATTTCTATCTGGTGAAGAATCTGAGTGGCCGACTGCTGGTGGGGATGCGCTGGTGGAACTACGTAGACGACGATGGTCGATCTCATTGGGTGTTCGAATCAAAGAAGGGTGAAAGCGGTTACGAGTCCAGGGTGAATCCACACGAGGCACGGATCTTTTGGACAGCGTTGGTCGTCTGTCCTGTCTTGTGGGGACTGTTCTTCGTGGTGGCACTGTTCGGATTCAAGTTCAAGTGGATGGTAAGGGGACAGTTTGGTGGGTTTTTGGGCAGAATATGGTTTCTAATGTATGTATGGTTTCTTGCAGCTACTGGTCATGATTGCTCTCTCGTTGAATGGAGCCAATCTGTACGGTTATATCAAGTGTAACTTTGGAGCCAATGCTAACCTGCAGGCGACGACCGCCGATTTCGTTCGAAGCCAGGTCCTGAAGAACGCCGTCAGTTTGATTAGTCAACCGAGCACCAGCTCGGCGCAGAAAACTACCACTGTAGCTTAAAATTATCTAAATGTACTATGTCAGTAGTGTATGTGTAGTAAAAGTCGTTTGTCCATTCCAAAAGGAAAATCGTTTGTTTCTAATTTAATTGGATAATTTTGATTAACATTTTCATTTAATCTAAATTCGGAGCATATTTCCGAAGAGCCGTCCCTATTATACCGGGAACCCTACAATTGTTGTAGGTTGGCACCTCGCGTATTATCTAAAAAAAGATTGCTCCAGGTGAGGCTCGAACTCACAACCCCGGCATTGCTCATCTCACAGTTACTGCTCTATAAGTACCGTGCGCTAACCAATTGCGCCACTGGAGCTGATGTCTGCCAGCCCGTCAAAGCCCTTTAAAAATGCCTGACCCCTATTCGACCCCCCGGTGGAATGCAACACTGGAAGCAACTCGTAGCATAGCCATCCCTCGCCGCAGCAACTCCCAGCCGCCGTCGACGACGTCAAACCTCGTGTTTTGGAAACGCTACAACGCATTTTATTCCCTCACGGTGCTGCGGATGGAGCGAGAAGCAAGCAAGCAACCATCAAGGCAAGCAGGTACGCGATATGTTAATTTCTGGCGGGCTGCCATTTTTGTTTGCAACCATTTCCGAAATTTTCAATTGCCGTGTTCCCGTGGACATGGCGCGGCGGGGAGGGAGCGATTGAATTTGCACTGTTCGATTTTGGTTTTCTCTGAACACTTTTAATCCGTATTATATAACCGGATTATCGAAAAAGTAAAAACACCAAATCACCGAACGAGCTGAGGACAATCCAAAACACCAATTCGATGTTTTCGTGTGCGTCGGATTTTTATGTTTTCAAACAAACTCATTCACTGCTGCGCTGGCCTCCGGGCAAAACAATTTCGCCCAATGTTCTGCGGAAAAATTGGTAGAAACGCGGCGTTGAACTGCTTTCGGACGAACGGCAAAATAATGGCTGGTTGGTCGCGAGCGAGAAACACCACAATAAAATTAAATTGAAAAAAAAAACAACGAGAAAGGTAAAAAAGCGCTCTACCCACCACTCCTCGCGCTGCGAGCTTCGACGGTTCGGTTCTTGTGCTTGTTTGGATTTGGTCGTTCGTTTCAAGCTTCGATATGCTGTGTGCTTGTGTACCTTGGGGGGTGGCGGCGGAGGAACCAGCAAACAAACCGGCCTTGAATTTAATGGTAACTGGCATGCGTTTTCTTTCAGTTTATCCCCCACATATGTGTAGATCCCTTCCAAGCCGGAGCAATGTTTTTTATGCGATGGGGTTCAAAAGTTTCAGGTTGTTCCTATAAAAACTCGAAACTTGCTCCCAAACGGAATTGGTTTATCGAATATACTGTTTTAAATGGGAATTACGGCGGTTTGAGGTAGGATGCTGCAACAATTTTCTAACTATTAGAGCAAATAATTGTCACAAGTAATGAACTTGTTGTTTTAGAACCCCATAACTGCAATGGAGCTGCAGCATGTCTGCATTACCGACGATTCCGAAAATAGCAATGGGCACTGACGTTTAATCCGCTTTCGCTGTTGCCCAAACGAGGGGCATAAATACACTGACTGCTGGTATGGACCCAGTGAAAAAAATATCTCGCAAGATCAGTGCTCGTTCACGCATAAAAATTTATCGTTGAAACAAAAATATTTGAGGTAAATTTAAACGTGAACTCAGTTTGTTCTGGCCACAAAAATTAAACAAGGTTTATTCCAAACGTATTCCATGTTTGAAGTCATGTGATATTATTGTTTTAAATAAAAATAATGTTACGTTTATTTTAAAAATATTCGTGTTGAAAATAAACGTGAATATTTTTATTTTTATTTGACAACTATATGTGATCAAAAATAAATATGTTCATTTTAAACATGCTTTTCATATTTAAAATTAAAAAAAAAAACTAACCTTAGTTTCACGTACCCAGTCGCAAATAGTAGCCACACGACGTTAACAAAGTGATTATTTTATCCTTCACAGTCGCAATGGTATTTCTCTGTGGAAAACCAAATTTTTGTTTCACTATTAGTGAATTCGTTTACCTACTATCGGGGTTAACACCAGTTCCAACCCAGTGCGAAACCGAACTTTTTGTCAGTGTGAACCTCAACCTGAGCTAGGTTTTAAAAACAAACGAGCAAACTGACGTTTGCCAGAAAACAAGCAGACCCAATCTTGATACCCGGGGATATCCAGGTTGGAACTGAATAATAAACGAATTCGCTATACACAGCAAAAAAATGTAATATCGATCAATGTAATTCAAGCTGATGTATGAAATAATGATGTAAAAAGCAAAAAGCAGATACAATATTACATGATATTACATCGATGGATGTCATTTTGTTCGCAAAATCGATGTACATCGTACAACGTTATATCACACAACCGATGGAATGACCTGGTTGCAGCAGTTTGGATGTAATATTCAACATCTTTTTTTTCTGTGTATGTGTGGATGTCAAACAACAGACAAGAATGCCATATGAAAAGAGCTTATTTAAGATTTTAGAGGTGAAATGAAACAAATCCATACAAATTGACCCAGATTCATCTTCTTATATCAGGCATAACATTTGATAACGGCACAAAAGCATTTGTAAACAAAATTTCTAAGGCCCTTTACACGCGAACCAAAGTACGCTCATGCAAAACAACAACATCATCGGATAGGGGCAACCTTTCCGAATGGCAATAATAATTCTTTGGTTTCAATAGTTATTTTTTGCTCTTGAGTTTGATTATCCTTCACACAGGGGGTAAGTCACTCTGCGGGGGAGGTAGCTCATCGATTCTTCCGGTTCGCCTCCTAGCATCGTGCTATAAGGTACCAGGCGATAACCAGGGTAGTTGATCGATAGCTCGATGACGTCATTTCGTTGGCGTCTGCAATGGGAAATTCTCATAGCAGGCGTTGACGATGGGACGTTGTCGAGTTGTTGAATAGCAACTATCGTGGTAACTCACCGATTACCTGTCGATCTGCCAAATTTGGAAAGACGTCTGCATTGAATTGTCTCATATAATAATATTCCGCCCACTATATCACAAGAAATTGCGAGTAGCTGAGTGGAATGGAGATAAGTTAAGCATTGGGTACAGGACCAAGTCTCCTCTGGGTGGTGCCAGAAGATGAGCGCAATAGAATCATCAAGTTGCCATAAGGCACGGAATGAGGCTATTGCATGGCTGGGTAGTCAAAGTCTTCCATTCGTTAGTCATTTCAGGTGGATTAGAACAGGTTTAGGTTTAGGGTGGGCGTTGACCAGATTCGGATTTTTCAGATATAATCCTAAATAGGACCTAGATTATTTAATACACTAGTAACCTGAACTTCTGTCACAATGTTTCATTGTGACTAATCAACACTCAATGGGTAAAATATCAAATTTGCGGTAAATTTGAAAAAAGGTAACTTGGAGTGTAGAGCGCACTGCCCACTGGACGATTCTGAAGCCTGACCAATATATATAGATACATTCATACCATTGGCATTTTGTATTTGAGATAAGACAGAGACAGGATGCGGAGGGGGGAGCGTAACCCATGTTATGGCTTCCATTTATTAAATAGTTCAGATAGGCTGGAAATGATAGGTTCATGTTGAGAAAATGTACCATATGGTGCCCGTTCACTGATCAAAATTAAATTAGATTCAAATCGTCAGACCCTGCCCTGTAATAAGGGGATTGACGATGATTGGTCAAGTTTCATTTTGCATTTGCATATAATTGTAAGTTTAGGTTTGCTTTTGTAATTGTAAGATAGATAGTTTGGCTCAATTGAAACATTGAGTTGTATAAACTTGACGAATCATACCTCTAAAATAGTAGTAGTTACAGTGCCGCATTATCTAACAACCACTGCCAGCAACTAATTTCGTTGTTTATTAATTTATTTGATAAGGCTCAACCGAATTAACTTTACAGAGCCGAGGATTCTTGGTCACTATATAATACATCTTAAAACTATAGTCAAAAGGTACAACACAATAAACACTTTATCTTCCGCTATCCAAAAAGCCTCCTCCATCAGAACTGGAGCCGCTTCCAGTTTTTTCATTGTATGGCAAATTGTTGTACGCCAACGAGGGTCAGAGCGCGTCCATTGCAGCAATGGACGCAAAACGTGGTCAGCACTCACACAGTCATCACTAAACGGTTGCTTTCCAAAGTCGACGACGCATCGACCGAAAGAACTGCTGATGAAGAACAATGAGGAGGACCACACAATGGTTGCTGCCGAGAAAACAGACGATCGAGTAGCACACATCGAGAGTGGCCTGCTTTTGTCGACAGCCGAGTGAACACTCAGCAACTAATGTTGGAGGGGTCAGCACGAGGGTCAGCAGGGCTGATTACGGATCAAAACTAACATAACTCTGAAATGATCCCGAAACTAACGCTCATTCATTGCACTTTGAGTCATAAAGTAGTTTTATATATTTTCCTACTAATCTATCTACACACTTAATTTTTTTACCGAGCTCGGCTGTGCGGGTCTCGGTGGGGAGGGGGTTTCGCTGAGATCTCGGCGGGAGTGACATTTGATTGCTGAGTCTCGGATAATGCCTTTTCTAATAATCTGCCTACGTTTCTTTTATTTGTTATCTACTTCATCCCTTTTTTATTTGTCTGCTCTTCTTTCCTCTTATCTTCTTTTGTTTTGTTTGTTTACATATAACTAATACTAATACCTCCTTGTTTTCTCTCTAATTTGTCTACTATGTCCCACCATCACGATGAGAGATGAGCTACCGTACATGGTACACGCTCATATACACTCCCAAAATAGTATGCCGCAAGTAAGTATATCACAGAGGCAACTAAAGATCCAGAAACGCCGATAACGCTGAAGATAATGAGCTGTGGTGATTTATATGACTATATAGTATTATTTATTTATACTAACCTAAACACAACGTGGGGTGACCCAAATCCAAACGATCACTAACCAAAATAATAGTCTTATCTTTTTTCAGCAGCACTACACCAGCCAGCAAAGTTCAACAATCCATCGTTGCTTATGCCTTTGTTGTCGTTTGGAACCAGTTTT